GAAGCCCTTGCCTGAAAGCAAGATTCCAGCCTGGAAGAGGACAAAGTGGACGGGAATGGACAAGAGTGGACGGGATGAGATGTGGTTTGAAGCTGATGGGTGCCAGCCCTGCGTTGCTGAGTCAATCAATAAAGAGCTTTCTTTTGACAATCTTGAGTCTTTTTTATTCACTCCTTTATGGTCCAGGGTAGCCAGAAGGTATAGAGTCTACTGGGATTATGGAAGAGAACACCCCAAACCCACTGGAAACCCCGAAGGTGATACAAACTCTTCCACCTTAGGGAATCATGCTCACTGACTGAGTGCCTACTGAATGCTAGGCCCCAGAAAGGCAACTGTTGTCCTTGTTTTACAGAGAAGGAAACAGAGACTCAGAGATGGTAAGTGAGTTGCTTAAGGTTACACAGCCATGAAACACTGAAGCAGAACTTTGAACCCAGCCCTGTTTGATACAAACTCAGAGCTCTTTTCACTGCATGCTGTTGCCTCTTCAAAGTGAATTAGGAGAAAAGGCGTGGCCTGGTGAGAAGAGGCTAGTTCAAAGTGGGATGGGGAGAAAGTGTTTTGACACAGACAGTACTTCAGAGTTTGGGATCTAAGCTACCAGCACTCCAGAAAACAAAAGACGATGATGTAAAGGCAGGATCTCTGGATGTGCTGGGTCCAAATCACAGCTTGGCCCAAACATTTGCTAGGTAATTTAGGCTTCCTGGCCATCAGTTCCTGGTCCCTTCCATGAAGGACTTGAGCCAGAGTAATGTCCCTATCAGCAATAACCTTCCGGGACTCTGTAAAGAGTGGGAGGTAGAGTCCCTGCCTCAGTACAAGCTGCTTTTCCTACTTGGAACAAACCCACCCTTCGCCAGGAATCAAATGCAAGCTGGCTGAGCCTCCTCTCCTGATGGCAGGTCACGCTATTAAGGGTCTCCTAGAAGAAAGGTTCTGGAACTCTGATAAACAGAAGTTCTTCTAATGGAATTTTCTCTTGCTATAAGCCTTCAATACCACCAATCACCAATGCGCCTTCTTCTTATGCCAAAATACGGCCCCTCCTTTGCAGGGTGTAAAACGACACTGATGTCACTCTCTTTCACCAGGGTCTGGCCATCTCTCTGAAGCTCTCCTCACAGGCGCCCTGCAGATTCATCAATAAACTTCAACAGGTTAGCGCTAGTAGGCCAATAAGACCTGTATTCTAGAACCTGTGAGATAGTAGCCAGAAACCGGGAAACACTAAACGCTTAAAAAATGCCTCTCAGAACACAGTCACTTACACCTTTTCCTCTTGTAGTTCTCTTCAGCACCAAGTTTCTTGGAAGAAGAAGGCAGTCTCCAGTTTTCTTAAAGAATTGTCTGATTGTATTAAGTGGCTTCTGGTAAAATAACAGTAAGAAAAAGGTGTGGCATTCTCTTGATCGCTCATTTTCTCTACCTTCCTCCCCAGCACCACCTCCTGGCCTCAGCCTGTGGGCTTCTGCAAAGTCATGTATCAGGACTAATTAGCTAGCATCAAATTCCTGTTAATTCCAGAAGCAGGGACAAACCTGTTCGGGAGGGACTTAATGATAAAATTAGGTATAGGTCTATATGTTAATCAAGGAAAATTCTCTACTTCCTTAAACTTACTTTAAATCCTAGAGGAGAGTCAAATCCATCCTGATGTATAGTCAGAGGAAGGAAATTGGGGGAAATTACAAGTTTCTCCAATCCATGTAAAATTAAGAAATCCTGGGGAAGTTGTAAAGAGAAAACAGTACCCTATTCCCTTGAAAGGCAGAATAGGTTTATAACCTATAATCGAAGGTCTCCTTCAGGAAGAACTTCTTAAACCCTGTATGTCCTCTTACAACACTCCAATACTGCCTGTAAAAAAGTGAGATGGGTCATATTGACTACTACAAGACCTTTGAGCCATTAACCAAATAGTCCAGACCACCCACCCTGTCATTCCTAACCCTTACACCATTATCAGCCAGATCCCTCATGACCGCCAGTGGTTCACAGTAATAGACCTCAAGGATGACTTCTGGGCTTGCCCCTTAGCTGAGGATAGCTGGGACGTATTTGCTTTCGAATGAGAGGACCCTCACTCCAGTTGGAAGCAACAGTACCGATGGACAGTTCTACCCCAAGGGTTTACAGACTCTCCAAACCTATTCAGTCAAATTTTGGAACAAGTCCTAGAGAATTTCACTCTTTCATCATCCCTATGTCTACTCCAATATGTGGACGACCTGCTCATTTCCAGAGGCACCAAAGACCAAGTAAACACAATTCTAAATTTCCTAAGGAAACAAAAAGTAAACTCCAGCTCGTAGAACCCGAGGTAAAATACACGGGGCACTTAACAAGCAAAGGGAAGCGGAAGATACGGCCCGAACAAATTGAAGGGATCATATCCTTGCCATTGCCTGAGACAAAACAAAAACTTAGAAAATTCTTGGGGCTAGTTGGAAATTGTTGCCTGTGGATTGACTCTGATGCCTTAAAGACAAAGCCTCTATATCTAAAACTCACCCAAGAAGGGCCCGACCCCTTTCTTTGGACTCCACAAGAAGTCCAGCAAGTTGAGAAACTAAAACATCTACTTATAACTGCCCCTGTCTTAGCTCTGCCATCCTTAGAACAGCCATTTCACCTTTTTGCTAATATAAGCAAGGGGGCAGCTATAGGAGTACTCACTCAAAAGCATGGGGGCCATCGCCAGCCCGCAGCCTTTCTGTCAAGTATTCTTGACCTAGTAACCCATGGGTGACCTGAATGTATCTAATCTATAGCAGCAACTGCTTTATTGACAAAAGAAAGTAGAAAAATACCCTTTGGGGGAAGTCTCATTGTAAGCACACCCCATCAGGTTAAAACCATTCTTGGCCAAAAAGCAGGGAGATAGCTTACGGATTCAAGAATCCTAAAATATGTAGCTATCCTATTAGAAAAAGGTGATTTAACCCTAACCACTGACAATGAGCTCAACCCTGCC